ATGCCCGCGTTTTTTTCCTCGTAAAGTCCTAGTAATGTTACTACGACTTTACGAGGAAATTGTTTTCTCGTAAGTATACGAGAACCTTACGAGGAAACATGGTTTCCTCGTAAACTCGAAGTAAACTCGTAGTAATTTTACGAGGAATTATTTTCCTAGTAAAGTTTCCTAGTAAATGCTTAGTTTTCTTGTAGTGTTTTCCTTTTAAATTTTAGATTTTACTTCAGGTATATCCGAACCGATCCGATATAACCCGAACCCGAATGATATATGGTTACTTTATGGGTTCTATGATGTGATACAAAACCGACCGAACCCGATGTGTTATATCCGAACCCGACCCGTAATTACAAATTTACTAGAATGAGACCTATGAGGTGGTATAAAAAAGAATCGAAATCCGAAAAACCCGACTTGAACGCCAACGGGTACCCGAACGTCTAAGCCTAGATATGAATGAACAAGATTAGTGGAAATCAATAAATCAAGGTTAAATTATATATTTTCCACTTGTCTATTAAGAAAGTTCAACGAGGTAATTTTTGTTTACTTTTATTTTTTAGAGAAAGGCCAGTTATTTTTTTTCTTTTTTTTTTCTTCGGTTCCAAATTTGGATTTGAAATGTAATTTTAATTTCGATTCTTTATGTTTTATAATAAATGTCATTTTAACTTTTTTTTCTTGTTGAAAAGGGTGCACTTTATAATTCCAATGCAAATTATATTTACTTTGATTTGCAAATTAATTGAAAGTTGTTTTGATTTTATAAAAAAAATTATTTATGTCAAATATTTTTGGTCAAAGAGATTAATGATATTTTATATATATTTTCGCTATTTTGTTAATATGTGTGGAAAGTGTCAAAGTGACACTTATTAAAAACAGAGGGAGTATTGTATAGATTTTGAATATTTGCATAGTTTTTTTGGCGCACAACGATGTTGAACCAGCTAATGAAATATATGTTTATATTCTACTGAAGAATTAATTCATCCATACATCCAAATAAAATAAAATAAAATCATATACACTGTTATTCCCCTTCATCATCAACTCGAATTCATAAAAGAAACACAAGTTCTACATAGAATCTAAAACATTTATTTTCGAATCACCCTTACCTCTCCCAGCATATATATAAAACAAAACAAAAAATTGTTTTATATGTCCATAAACTTTTCTATTGAATATATCAATGATCTTTAATTAACACCCACTAGCTTCATTCCAACACCGAGATACAAAGCATGTTAACGTTAAAATCACGATACATACCAACAATCATGCCAGCCACAAGACTCCTCCTCAACACAAATTCTTTGATCCAAGTTTCACGCGAGGCAAAATTATCTTCATGAATTTCTTTCCAGAATGAAACAGTGTGGACTGTGTTTGTATCAAGATCCTTCACCTTTATATCGAAATGGCCAATCTTCAAATATATTAAAGACATGACATCTGGTATGTGTCTCAGTATAGTAGCCTGGATATACTCCATTGGAAGTTGGATGTTGCCTCTGTACCATACTTCTTGGGGAGATAGGGTTTTGATGACATCCCAAGGAGAAGGAGATATGGGATGGATTTTGATTTCCTCAGGAAGTAGTTGACCATTGTTGGCGTTTTCTTAAATAAGGTATAGAACATTGTTTTTATCTTATTTGAAGTATATACAAGAGAGTTCTAAGTTTTTATTGTTTCTTGTGGTTTTGTGGTGATATAAGTTGGATGATTATATATTGTATAATGATTTGGTCTTTTAGAGTTATGAGAGTCTAAATGCATATATTGATTTAGGTTCTAATTAGGTATTAAAGAAAACAATATGCATTTCATTAACATATAAGTAGTACATGATTTATGGTTGGATTATCTTAGTGGGGGTTATTGGTTCTAGGATTTTATAGATTTAGAAATCCTTTTTGGATTTTGAAATTTTTGACAAATCCACACATTTTATAATCAAATACGTAGATTTCAGAATCAATTAAATAGATTTCAAAATCAATATAATTGAATTATTAGAAATCAACGAAATGGATTTGTGATAAACGCAGCTTTGTAACAAAAGAAAATATATATAAAACTACAACATATGGTTTATCATTTTCTATATCTTATGTTATTATGATAACATTAAATCTCTCACATACTTGTTATTATTGTTGTTCTCACTTGATTGGCATATTCTGTTTGTTGATTTTCAGTTCCAGTAACTTCCTCAAGATCTTCTTCTTCATCAAAACTTTTTTATTCAGAAAAGTTATTGATTCGTCAGAACTTTTTAAAAAGACTACACGTAAACTAACACACAAATATTCTCTCCGTTTGTGTCTTATAAGCAAAAGGGGATGCACATTAAAAATTTAAAATCGAGATTTGAATATTAACGTCTACGTGTACGTAAAGCTAAGTTAGAGATGGTTGGTTAATATATTAGTATTTGCTTATTATTAGAGAAACATGGATAATATGTACGTAAAACTTGAGGCAAGAAAACAATTATTAAAAAAATCAATAATACACTATCAAAATAACAAGGTTCAACTCAATATTTACTTCTTTGTATTTTTAACTCACAAATCCACTCAAATCTATTTTCAAATCAAATCTTCAAGCAAATCATTATTATTGAATAACGCCTGATTTTAAAATCTATTTTAAAACCATAGAACCAATAACAATGAATTTGAATATAGATTTTAAAATCATAGAACCAATAACAATGAATTTGAATAGGGATTTTAAAATGATAGAACCAATAACATTATATTTGATTTGTATTTTCAAATCCACTAAAATATATAAACCAATAACACCCTCTTAAACACTTGGTGAGTAAAGTCTTGATAAGATGGGCCTTGTGGGCTTTCTTTTATGGTTTTATTAGAGAAAGGAAACTCATTAACAAGTCTTTTGATTGGTGAACGGTTTGGTTCTTAATAACTGGGATACCAATCCCAGTTGTTTGGAAAGAGAAAGCTTTTTTTTTAACGCTTGTATTTCATTCATAAGTGTTCTTACAATACTGAATCAAACAGCTAGCAACACAATATAAGAAAAGATACCAATAGGCATTGTAAATTAACCCCATACATATGTTGGTAATTAGTAAATGCAAAGGAAAATCGTGAAAGAGAGCCAGACAAAACAAAAACCAATATAATTGCTTTTTAATCTCTCTCGTATAATAGAGCCAACCAAGTAAGATCCTTGCTTCATACATAGCTGATTCTCACGACAACAAAACAATGCATATCTCTTCTCAAACTTATGAGAGACCCCTTCATAACCATGACTCGTAATGGGGCAGAGAACATGAAACATGTAGCAAGAAAAGTGTGAGTACATGAATGACATATCTTTCTTTTTTCTTTTATGTTTGATTGATTGTTTCTAATACACAACTTCTCTCTCTAATATGTGTGTGTGTGTATAGGTTTTACCATGTGTAAAGAACAAGCAAGGGGAAGAAATGCTTCGTGAGCTTTGACATTGGTGAGACAATCACGAGAAGTTGGTTTCTCATCTGCACAAGTTTTTTGGCGGTCTTCAAAATTTTGCTGCCGAGCTTTCCTTCACATCAGATGAAGTTACCAAGTGTTTGGCTTCTCATCTTCTCTCCAACCGAAATAGAGCTGAATATAAAGCTTCATTAGACGAGGTTGCCATGGTCACTTTCTGGGATCAAGTTCTGTTAGTGATAGCTTCGGACACCACATATGCTGCTATTAATAAGGTAACTGATCAACGCCATGGAGTTGAGATTGATCAGGGGCTACTGAGTAGAGTGTGTCACATATATGTTCAGTGTGGGATATATGAAATGAATTTTGATAGGTAATTGCAAAACGACTTGCCACCTTTTGCGACAATAAGGCAGGAGTGAATGATCTCTAAGACATTTACAAACTTTCTCTTTAAACCATACATAATCTAAAAACTAAAGATATGAAACGAGTTTCATGAGATGCATGCAAAAGAACATCACCAACAAGCATCTCATGAGTTTGAGATGAGTTGGAAACGTGCCTTCATACCAAAATGGATATGACTTTGGTACAAAGCTTGTACATAAGACTTAACAGTTCCAACAAGTTAGGATTCAACACGCTCAATTGAAATGATAGACTTGTCTAGTACCATTGCAATGATTTGGAATGATAAACTTGATCACATGCAACACCCATAGCATAATTGAGATTATAGTTTTGACCACATGTAACCACAGTTACCCTCCAATGTTGGAGGATTTTGTTGTTATTTTTCTTATTTATTTTTAAATATTTTGTCAACAAACAGTTTGAAATATTAAAAATATTTCATTTACATGCAACACCCATAGCATAATTGAGATTATAGTTTTGACCACATGTAACCACAGTTTCCCTCCAATGTTGGAGGATTTTGTTGTTATTTTTCTTATTTATTTTTAAATATTTTGTCAACAAACAGTTTTAAATATTAAAAATATTTCATTTACAGTGTTTATTCTTCAAGTGAATAACATAAAATATTTGTTTCATATGATTTCAAATTTACATTGATTTACTTTAGAAACTTTAAGTTTCATTGCAAAATTATACTTTGATACAAACCTCTATCAATACATGTGGAATTCTATCGTGTTTAACAACAATTTCATGTCATTTATGAAACCATGTTACAAAAGTTAATCACGTCATTTTGAGAAAAGAAATTATTGACAACTAACTAGACATGTTTGACATGAAATCCAACACGATTTTTTCTTTTGACAAAATTATAATTTTATCTTTTTTATTGAAAGAATTTTTATAGTAATATTAAACATATTTAGTGGGAATAAAAGCACTAAATTTTTCTTTAAAAATAAAAAATAATAATATATTAATTTATATTTTAAAAAAACTTTAAAACAAATGAATGGTTATTAATCAGTAGGATGCCACTCGTTATGAGTTTTTTTGTGTAAATTGTTCAGAGTTTCTATATGAGGAAATCTTTTTTTTTTGGGTCTCTTCCTTTTTAATTATTTTTATTTATTTTAGTATTGAGAAATTCAAAGAGAGATTCCCGATTAATTCTTTGGTAACATAATTAGCTAGTACTTTTTTTTTGTTCAAACATAATCAAGGACATCTAAAATTAAATAAAGAAATCATAATGATGCCAAACCGAATTTTATTTCCCGGCCCATATTATATCCCATTTATCAGCCCATTAACTAGAACCGCCTTTTAAGACCAGAACTCAAGAACTAAACTCACAATGTCTTAGGTGTTTGTGTTTTTTCAGATTGTCACAAACTCCTCCCTCTCTTCGACTTGTTTTCGCTTCCACTCCAAACATGTCGAAGGATCATCATCAAGCAATCGCAATCAACGATGCGGTTCACAAGATCCAACTCTCTCTCCTCAACGGCATCACTTCCCAAACCCAACTCTCCTCCGCAAGAGCCTTAATGTCTCAATCAGACTACGAAGACGTCGTCACGGAACGAAACATCGCCAAGCTCTGCGGCTACCCTCTCTGCAGAAACTCCTTACCTTCAGATGTTTCAAGGAGAGGGAAGTATCGTGTTTCTTTAAAGGAGCATAGGGTTTACGATGTTGAGGAGAGTAGGAAGTTCTGTTCCGCGGGTTGTCTCGTTATTAGCAGAGGGTTTGGGAAGAGTTTGGAGGAGGTTCGTTCCTCGGAGTTTGATGTGGGGAAGCTTAGTGAGATTCTTGGTTTGTTTGGTGGTGGTGGTGAGAATTTGGAAGAGTCTCTGGTTGTGAAAGAGGGTTTGGGATTGGGTGAGCTCACTATTTGTGAGAAGAGTGATGTGAGAGGTGGAGAGGTTTCTCTGGAGGAGTGGATGGGTCCTTCTAGTGCTGTTGAAGGTTATGTTCCTCTTGATAGAAGTAATTGCAAATCAAATGATGGTAAAAAGGGTAAGTTTGATGGTGAAAACCATATACAGCTATACATTTAGACAAAATTAATGTACTTAAAAATAAAAGCTATATGTTCCTAGAACGCAGGACGGTGTAGCTGACTCTTTAGCTAGATCTGTTCGATAAAAGGATCGAGAACTATTGTTTGTTGATTGTTCTATTCCGGTCTGGCTTCCCAGACCACCTCAAGCTTGAGTAATAGAGTAATAGATCAGCCGTTCGTTGTCAAAAAAATAAAATAAAGCTGTATAAATTATATGGCAATATTTCTGAACGAATATGTGTTATGTTGTTAACACCATTAAAATAATGGCTAAGCTCACTGTTCTTGAGAGTAAGGATGTTGTCATGTGATTTATAGATTATATGTTTTGTTTTTGTTTATTATGTACATAAGACCATCATGTACATGAACTATATGAATCACATGACAACATCGTGAACTAATATGTGTTATGTTGGTAACAACATCAACGTAATGGTTAAGCTTACCATTCCTGAGAATAGAGATGTTATCATGTGATTAATATAGTTACTTAACTAATATGTGTTATGTTTGCTAAACATCATCAACATAATGCCTAAGCTCACCAGAATAAGGATGTTGTCATGTGATTCATTTAGTTCGAGTAACTGGACTGGTTATGTGTATTGATTTTTAGTAGTTGGGTCTTTGTCTCTGTACTGCTTATAACTATGATTTTGACAGATTCCAAGGCTAAGAATAAACAAAAGAAGCAGGAGGATCCGTCTTTTAGCGAGATGGGTTTCACTAGCACTGTTATTATTCCTGAGGAGTGTAGTGTAAACAATTGCAAAACCAAACAGGGTAAGTTTGATGATGAAACCATATCTGTTTGGTTTTGTCTCTTGTTTCTTAGTACTTTGGTGTTTGTTTTAATGTTGCTTATAATATGAGCTTGTTCTTGACAGATTCCAAGGCTAAGAATAAACAAAAGAAGCAAGAGGATCCGTCTTTTAAGGAGATGGGTTTCACTAGCACTGTTATTATTCCTGAGGAGTGTAGTGTTTCAAAGCTTCCACCACAGACTGAACAACCTTGTCCTGTAGTGAAACCTGAGGATGGCCAAGGGAAAACACCAAAAGAATCGAGTAAGCACTAAGGAAGTGTTAAGAGTAGTAGGCCTTAGGACCCAAGATATCTCTAATAAATATAGCTATGTATGTTGTTTATTCATAGGAAAGCTTGAAATCTTGTGATGGTTATTAGGCCATTCCTGCTTATGTGTGTGGCAATAGATACTGCTCTCTCTTTATCTATATGGTTGTGAAGTTTCACTGCGCGTGTGCAGGGTTTCATCGTGAAAAAGAAAAGGAAAAGATCGATTTTGCGAGCTTTGGGTTTGATGCAATGGGTTGTGCGAGCTCTGTCACTGCTAGTGATGGATACAGCGTTGAATACAGCGTGTCTAAGCAGCCACCATGTTCAACAGAAGACTCTCTTAGTGGCCAATTAAAAGATGGTGTCAAGACTTCAGATGAGAAATGTTCCTCTTCTGCCTCTAAAGAGAAGGGGTTTAAGCGTCCACCACGACGCAAACAAGTTTCTCATGTAGGGGAATCATCAAGCAAAGGGAAAACAGTTATAACAGCCATTGAGAAGGACATTAAAAATTCTCTGGTTGGTGAGATGGGTGTAATGAGCGATGGATATACTGTAGAATATAGTGTGTCTAAGCAGCCACCATGTTCAATGGAAGATCCTCTAAGTTCTCAGACGTTAGACAAGAAAGATGCTCTACTAGGATCATCCTCTGGTTCTAACACAAAAGTGTATTCATCAAGTGAAACCGTCACTAAATCATGCCTTAAAGTGTCTGGCTCCAAGAAGCTTGCTCATTCAGTTACTTGGGCTGATCAAAGTGACGTCCGTGGTGATCTTTGTGAGGTTAGAAGTGATGATACCGAGACAGGTCTTACTTCTACTGATACAGAGGATGTCAACAGTGCATCACGCCTTGCATTAGCAGAAGCATGCGCTAAGGCGTTGAGCCAAGCTGCTGAAGCTGTTTCTTCAGGAGGTTTAGATGCTAGTGATGCCGGTAAGTCCATTACATACGTTGTGGAGTTCAATAAGTTTCTGAATTTTTGAACTTTGTCATGTTTTGTGTAGCTGCAAAAGCTGGAATCGTCTTGTTGCCAAGTACACATCAACTTGATGAAGAAGTTTCTGAGGAGGAAGTGACTGAAGACAGTGAAGAGGAGGAGGAAGCAACTCTTCTGAAGTGGCCAAATAAGCCTGGGATGCCAGATTCTGATTTGTTTGACCGTGATCAATCTTGGTTTGATGAAACTCCAGAGGGATTCAATCTAACTGTAAGTCTTATGTAATCATTTATACAAAACTGATCCATTACATGAAACTAAAGTCCACAACGTTCCTCAGCTATCAACTTTTGCTATGATGTGGGACTCACTCTTTGGATGGGTATCATCATCTTCTCTGGCTTACATCTATGGGAAGGATGAGTCTGCTCATGAGGAGTTCTTGTCAGTTAACGGGAAGGAGTACCCTAGGAGGATTTTTCTGGGAGATGGATCTTCATCAGAGATCAAGGAGACAATTGCTGGGTGTCTTGCAAGAGCTGTATCTAGAGTTGCCACTACTCTCAAGCTGCCAATATCTATATCCGAGCTTGAAAAGGGACTGGTAACTCTCCAATCTTATTTGGAAATTGTCTAGCAAAAATCAATCTATCTTTGTCAAATATAGAAAGTACTCCTAAAAGAAAAGGGACCGATTTTTTAAAATCGGTATATACGCCCGCCTAATCAATAATCTCATATAAAGTTCCTAATTGCCACCTAACGATTTTATAACAGTGATTAGTATACATGAAATGGTATCACAATAATATCATGTGAGAGTTATGCTGGGAAGTTATATATATATATATAGTTTCTCAGCAATGTGGTTGGTGGTTGTGATTTGGTGTTGAGCAGGGAAACTTGTTGGAGACAATGTCTTTGACAGGGGCGGTTCCGTCTTTTAGGGTTGAACAATGGCTAGTGATTGTACTTCTGTTCTTGGACGCGTTGTCTGTAGCTCGCATTCCTCGGATTGCACCGTATTTATTGAACAAAACCAAGGTTAGTTGCAGTTAACTTGAACATGCATATGGTAAAGTGAAATCTAATAAATTGTTTGTGTTGGTGAAAATGAAAAACAGGTGTTGGAAGGAAGTGGGATTGGTAATGAAGAGTATGAGACAATGAAGGATATTCTATTACCGCTTGGCCGTGTTCCTCAGTTTGCTACCCTAAGCGGGGCTTAGACAAAACCCGGTTTAAGGTTAACCGGTGGAATAAGAAAACAAACTTTGGAAATATGAAAAATCATTCAAAAGCTGGCTTATGTTATTAGTCTAAGATGGTGTTGATTCTTGACGATGTATGATGACACTCAATGAGTTCTTTCTCTATGCATGTGAGAAGAAAACAATGATATTGACCAAAGTAATTTTACTTGTTTAGTGTTTTGTTTGTTGCATTCAAGCAACACATGCCCTTACTCAAAATCCATTTTCTGTTTGTTTGTACTTTGTGCATGAATGCCCTCTTGTAACTAAAAAGAAACATAAAAAGAAAAGTTTTCCATACATATAATTATGACTATTTATTTGTTTCCAAATACTTAGCAAAAGAAAAACAAAAGAGCAGAGTTGCAAGTATTTTTTCAAAAAAAAATTAATCAAGATTAATTCATTCAAATCCCAAAAGAATCAACCAAAATTTTCTTTATTATATTCCCTATGAACATCGATAACGATCTTTATTGGTGGTGGATTAATTATACTTTAATTTAAAGCTTAAAATATTACAGTTCTTGGCTAACAGATTACTATATAAGATTTGGATATTTGTATGTAAAAGTCTTCAAGATAGTCATTAACTACTAGTAATTGTTATTATGTAGGTAGAAGCTGTTGAATATATTCCTCAAAGACCAAAACGACTTTCGAAGTGCTTTTTGTCATATGAAAACACATTTTAAGAGTGTGTGCTTCGACAGGTTTCTTTTCATTTGCCTTTTGACTATATGTCTATATCTTTCTTCTATCTTCCTTGATTTAACATTTATGTAATATTATTGGACAACCTCCACTAAAATTCCTAGTTATAGAATTATATGAACTTACTGTAGTTTAGTATACGGTTTATTATAGTTATTGTAATACTTTAGTTACGTTGCTATAATATTTGACCTAACGTGTTTACCAATTTATTCAACAGAGATATTTAGTATTAATATGTTTCTAATGTCCATTTATATTAAAAGATATGGAAACATATTACAATTTCAAGAAATATTATTTAAATTTAGAATTTGCATATGATCAGGGGCCGAAGGTTTAATAAACCAATGAACTACAAAATTTAACTGTTTTTCTATAAAGCCAAAAGAAAACCATGACACTAATAGTAATACTTCTCTTATTTACATTGACTAATTTTAGGCAGATGAATCTAACTGTTAGAGTTTGGCACTTCGTTGAAAATTGTGAGAGTGATACCCAAAAGCATAAGTAAGATAAGGAAGCAAGAACCAACAGAGAAACACTACTCCTGTTTGGACATTTTATTACAATAACTCTATCTTTACATGTCCAAAACATAAAATAATACATACTTTCTGTTTGATTCTATCTATCACTCGAATAAAATTGTTTGAAGAAAGATCAAAAGGAAAGACTTAAAGAAACAGAGAACTTGGATGCCTTTGGGAAGAAATTAATTAAAAAATAAAATGGACAGAACAAAGACTCTTAAGCTTAAAGTGAATACAGACCCCTTTGAGATTGATGAACTTGTCCGATAAAATCTCAACAACCATCTGATTTTAATACCAGCTTCCACGTTTCTTCATCTTCATCTCATTCATTCCCTTTCAGATTCTCGCATAATATCTTCATTACTATGATTTTCTCAACGCTTTTCTGTTATTGTGGAAATAATTAACGAAAACAACTATAGTACCAACTATTAGTGGTTTAAGCATGATTAACCCTAGTCTATTAGTTCGGTTTTTAACTTATGATTTAATAATTTTTTTTGTTCTTTTACACTTTTCGGCTAAAATACGGCTCTTAGAGCATGTGCAATGGGGATAACATCACAAATCTTTAGCACGAATTTTTTAAAATAAAATATCAAAATATTGTTTGGTTTGGTTTCTGTGACTAAATCTGTCCGAAAAATCATTGCATAACGATTATTTTCGCTGAATAACGTTACTGTGATATGGGCCCCACAACATGTGGTGGTCCACGATTAGTTAGTTTTTTTTCAATTAGACAAAAAAAAGAAAAAATTAATAAAATAATAAAAAATAAAAATTGAAAATCGAACCAGTGTGAGAACACCGTTGCACCTGCTCTTATTTAAGAGATGGTTCTTAGTTTTTTTATTTAAAATCTTAGAAAATATAAGAATCTTCTTAACCGAAGGTAAGAACCCTAATTAAAAGATTGAAATTAATCATGGTCTTAGTACAAAGAACTAATTTTGTTGTGTTTCGAGGTCAATTCCGCTTAGAAATGTATTAGTAAGGTTTGGTCCAAAGAAAAAAAATTACCCATTGCCCAAACTCCTACTGATTACTCCCTCCGTTTCAAATTATATGTCATTCTAGAGTAAAATTTTCGTTTCAAAATAAGTGTCGTTTTATAATTTCAATGCAAAATTTATTTATTTTAAATGTTATTCTATTTTTTCATTGGTTGAAAAGTGGTTAAGTGTATAGGTAGTTGTGTTTTTATTTTGAAAATATGTAAAATTAATTGTTTTCTTAATCTGTGTGCAAAACTCTAGAATGACATATAATTTGAAACGGAGGGAGTAATAAAAAACAGCTCATCATATGATGAACGAATTAGCAAAAAGAAAAGTTATACCATAATGCCTCATTATATGATTGATTAATTAGACAATATATTTATATACACCATAACTAATTATCTGTACAACGAGTTAGAATAAACGGCACATAATCCCACAAAAGGAATAGGTCCAAATAATTGCATGCGACACATAAAAAGCACATTGGTCCTACAATGTAGCATGAACAAAACTTTACTTCGCTTTGATAATTTCTAAACAGAACCAAACCAAGATTCCAACCAAACCGGACCATAAAGAACTCCCACAAAAAGATGTTTTGCTCAGTCACCCTATAAATACATCCTCAAAACCCCCATTTCTCCACATAAACACAAACACATCAACCTTAAACAAAGTTACAGTTATATTTTCTTGAATCTTGAAACAGCAGAATGAAGTTCTCTCTCTTCAGCTTCTTGAAACCACGAAGGTCTTCTCATAGAGTTGATGCAGACGCATGGGACGATGGTGTATACACAAGAAAGGCATGGGCCAGTGACGAGGACAAGCGATATTGGGTGGCTGAGCCAGGTATTGACCGTAAGGCTTCTGCCTTTATCGCCAAGTTCCATGCCTCTCGTGTCTCTGAGTCTGAGTGCCAAACTCTCCCTCCTTGCCACTCTCATCATAACTAGCCATCATCACATCATCATCATGATAAATGAAAAAATGCTAATAGCTTATGTTAGTTTGGTTCTATGTATATTATTCTCTTTTCTTTGATGTTCATGATGATGTCCTTAATTACCATAATTTATGCAGTTAAAGTTAGTTCTATCTAACATGAATTACTATTATAAATAGACTTGACAAGTCTATAATTCGCTACGTTTAAGTGTTGAACACTATATATGATCCAGATAAATATATTTCAAATATACTCACTCTACCAAAATATCTTAAAATATACACGATATATGATCAAGAAACATGTCAAGACGTTCGGAGTACTAAGGTGAATACATTGATATATGGCTCTAGACTTCTACTCTAGCTAGTGAATATTAAGATCTTACACTATAGTATCGATCTGATCTAGGTAGCTAGTACTTGCACTAACACCTTCACAATAAAATATACAATTCGGTTTGTTAAAAACAGTTTAGCTACTATGTATAAGTAACCATCGTAAATGCCAAAAACCAAAATTCCTGTAATCTAATATACTATCTGAAGACGACTATAGATACTTGTAGCAGTAAGTAACATCTGTTTTTTGTTTTACTTTGATACATTTTTACTATTAGTTAGTATCCAAGTAGCAATTACGAAATGACATGTATATAATGAGATTAATTAAACAAGAACAAAGATATAGAGCCAACTTGTATAAAAAATATAGAACAAGGTGTGGAGGATATCTTTCCCCCACATATACTGTAGTTTGTATAAAAAGGTACATTTCTAAGAGTACTTTTGTTCCTTGTTTTTCACTCTTCCTCTCACCTTCTTTTGTCTTAAAAATATAAGTTCCTCAACAATAATATTTTAATTATATTTCTGTTTAATTTTAGTAAATTAAATTATTGTAAGAAAACATATCTCTTTTAGATTTCATAAAAGTTTAGTGATTTTTTTTAAAGGCCATTTTAATCTCGTTTTTTTTTAATTTATTTTTTCAAAATTTTAGTGAAAACTCTAGACTGCAGATGGTCCTAACTTTCTGTTTTACATTTTTATTTAATTTAACATTAATCACTTAATTTTTTTTTTCTTTTCTAATTCTTTCATTTTTTTGTTTTGTTTTTAAAACTGGAAAGAGATAACTCAAATGCGTGCATAGTAACATAGATCATGAAATGGTATAAATCTCTACTACATGTATATATATATATATGAACACTTTTTTACCACATACATGTCGGAATGCATATAAAACCTGTGAATTCATCAAATCAATTCTCTACAATCTCAAGAGATACACAAATCTGTTAAAAAATGGTCCCTGGTACGTATCTTCAGCTTTTCTTAAAGGTGAAGTGATTAAGTAGCAGCCACAAGTTTATGTTTACTAAAAGTAACATCGGAATCATAAAAAGCCATCTGAGTTTTAGCTGCAGTATCTTTGCAATTGAATGATTCGGCCGTAGCCAAACATCTCTCTATCTCAATTGGCTTAACTGATTTCCTGTATATGCTCTTTCTTCTCGTTTGCATTGGTCAAGTATACCACAACCAGGTCTGTTATGATTTGGTTCAACAGTGTTTTGTCCGGTTCAACTTAAGAAATTTGGGAAGAATATTGATTGGCCCAAACCAGGGCCAATCATTCGCATTAAAAAATTCGGTATTTTCTAAACCGAAACATTCCAAAGTTAGCTTATTTTCGAACAATGGACGTTCGCCGTATTATACATTTATACACACAACAAAAATTCAGGAGCATGAACAATAAAATTATGTTGTAATCCTAAAGAGAACAATGCCTGATTCTCCTAATGAAAATAAGTAAAGCTAAATTTTACTCGATTTGTAATCATGTCAACAATCAAACGCCACACATAAACTGACAAAAACATTTCTTAGTAATTGCAGTCAAAATGTCAGATCTACAACTTCTTCATTTTTTATGGGTTGGGTTCTTATTGGCTTGCAAGTCCCAACAAATGAAAGATACTACTCTGTCCGTTTCATTTTAGTTATCGTTTTAAATTTTTGTATACAGATTAAGAAAACATTTAATTTTATATATTTTTGAGATAAAAACACAATTATCTATACACCAAACCAATTTTTAACCAATAGAAAAATTGAATAGCAAATAAGGTTAATAAATTTTGCATTGAAATTATAAAACCATACTTATTTTAAAACGAAAGTTTTATTCTACAACGACAAGTAAATCGAAACGGAAGGGGTATATAGTTATATCGAAAAATTAATTGATAAGTCTTTGAAAATAATAAATATCAATATATCGAAAATATCTTTGAAATATATTAAAATATCTCACCAAAAAATTGAAACCTTAATCTTTCTGTAAAAATCAGCAATTATTTATAGTTTTCGGAACACACTAATGCAAATTGAAAACACTTTCAGAACAAAATATTTGCTTCTTTTTATTAACATAGGGGTATTTCAAAGGGGACAATACTGATGACTAATCCAACTCCGAGCTTTCTAAGTAATGAATCCATTTTGATTACGGGTTGTCTCAAGTTCTCCTTTTATCACTAGACTATCACTGTTTGGTTTTGCATTTGAAAACTAGACCATGACCCGCCCGCCTGGGCGGGTGTTTTGTTTTCTTTTAATTTTTAGGTTTATATTAAATGATGTAAAATAAAAAAATGAAGTATCATTTAAATGGTTAAAAATTACTTATGGGTTTAATTTTGATAGAAGAATACCGAAAAGTTTGTTGTTTGATCCGCGTAAATGTTTGTTTTTATATATTTTATAAGTGATAATATATATTTCTAAATTTACCCGTTTTAATAATTGTTTAAAATGACATTTTAAACACACAATTTTATAGTTTATATTGAGTACTTTTATTTTATCTTATAAACTATCATTGAGTCAAACTTATTTTAAAAATATGACCCGTATATCTGCACAAATGTTTTTATTTTATTTTTATGGTTCAAAATTTTATGATAATGTATAACTAAATTGTTTTATTTACTATTTAAAATATATGGTCCTATATATTTCTACTTTTTAACTTTTATTATTCTGAATTTACCTTGAACTATTATTTATATAAAAATATACATAACATGATATGTTTATATTAATCTTTTTATAATATATTATATAAATGTTTCTTTTGTGACTTTTATTTTAGTTATTATTTATAAATAATAAAAATATAATTATATATCTTTTAAAAAAATATTGTTCATTAACTATTTAAAGATATGTAGATAATTAATAAGAAAAAAATCCTAAAAGGTAGGTTAATTAATATTGGAATTAATTATTATGTATATGGAATTAGTAAAACAATTTCTATATAATTTATTTATTTAATTAGGAAAGGTATATATGAAAATAATTATTTTCATTAATTATTGTTGCCATAATTTTTTTAATTAAAATTTGATTTTGGAAATGCATTAATTAAAGTGAAAAGATAAAGAAACCTATAAGGTTGGGTAATTAATTACTTCAGTGGTATGCTATTGTAAATAAAAGTGAAAACTAAGGGGTATTTTATATGGGTACTTCTCTTTTAATAATATAGATGTTTTGAAAATCCATTTTATCCATCAAAATGGATTTGTATCTAAATTATTAGGTGTGCAATGCCTAAAACTTTATGGTTACCGTTATGGTTATAATCAAAAGACAAAATAAAAAAAATTCAAATCATATCGTATGTTTTTTTTTTTTTGTATTTGCTTACTTCCCAAATTATGATCCATCACACGTAAACTGAAGTTCAGGTTGTTCATGGAAAATGGGAAATTAACCAAATAAAATTTAATTAAGTGATCGTAGTTGGTTAATATGGGTTAGGTCCTAACTTGAAGATCAAAGATCAAGGCCTGTATTGTTTTTTTTTTTTTCTCATGCTTTTAATTGAAAAAATATGTTCCAAAAAAGATCAAGTGGACAATAAAGAGATTCATGTTTTTGTGTCTAGCTATATGGATGGTTTTGAGCCATTCTAGATTTGAAAGATACCCCCGAGTAACATTTGATATTCGTTATGCATAGATGATTCTGTCTGATGCATTGAGAAAGTGTCCATGTTTAGAGACTCTACTACGAGATATTTAAATTATGGTGCTTAACTTTATGTAGTTTTTGACCCATAGCAAGTATTACTGAGCGTGATCTAATTATACATATATGTGCAGTAGTATATATTCCTCATGTTGTTTTTGTTGGTAAAATATATTCATCATTTGTTTTACGTGTCCCAATCAATAACAAGCTCGGATAGTAATGTAACTTCTCGATCAATGCTAGTAACCATCCGTTCAAAACACATCACATATTTGAAAAACCAAAACATATGATCATCCAAGAATAGTGCTATCTCTTATTTGAAGATTTGATTTATTTATTCTTTAATAGGATTTTTTTTTTATGCTTAGACCTACAAGAAACAAAAGACAAAACCTAGAGTATAAGTAGGCTATAAATCGTATACCAAAGTTGTTCTAAAATCGGAATAAACAAGATCATTATTTGGAGATCAAGTCAAGCCCATCAGTTTGGTTTTGAAACATTTTCTGTCAAAAAGGACAAGACATCACTCCCTTCGTGTCTTTCGTATTAGAACCAACCATCTAAAATCTCTTCTTCTTTTTCTACTATAGTTTTTATTTCATTTTCAGCTTTTTGTCTGCTATTTGATTTCTTTTCTTGGAGTATCTATTTACATAGTTGCCGAATCATAGGGAATTAATAATTAGATGAATAAAGAAGATTGGAATAAAAAGTTCTACCGCACACTGTAAAAGCAAAAAGAAGACTGATTGTTGTTAAAATAGCATTCACGTGTTAACCACTTTCTTTCAAATCGAAAAAGATGTAAATGTATCAACCAACGTGATGCTTCTCTTGACTTTTCTAAGGACTATATTTTTAGTAATACAAATTCTAAGCAAGAAAAAAGAGAGAGAGAGAGGACGACTTGAGAACTTTGATTTGAGTAAAAAAATTCTGCATAACAAATAATATTAACTTTGATTTTTTTTCGAATTTTTCCTTTATTCTTCCTTATATTTTTTTATTTAACACATATTATTTCAAAGTTTTACATAAGAAAAAATGTTGTCTATCTTATTAACTTTTATTTTTCTTCCCCTTAATTCTTCAGTATATTTATTTGATTTAACACATTATTTCAAAGTTTCTTAGGTTGTAAATAGTTCCAACTTTTCAAGTATGTTTTTTTTGAAACACAGAAATTATATTAAAACAAAGCTTGGGCCCGACTGTACTAACCCATACAAAGAGAAACAACAGAAACAGAAATTGGGGCAACAAAAGCCCGTTTAGCTAAGGAATCAACAACCTTATTCTGAGAACAAGGAATGTGATAAAAGACAGATCGAAGCAAAGATGGAGGAGAGTTGATCAAAATCTTTGAGGATACCGTAGATCTCCTTTACTTGTATGTATATACTTGGTTGAAGATAGAAACAACGGATGAATATCTACTCTAATTTCAAAAATATATTTAAATAAGATTGTTGCACCATTTTTATTCACTAATAATATTTTGGTTTTACCTAAATTTTTGATTAACAATACATTAACTTATATTTCTCTAACAATAATTTAGTCAATACTTTTATTTATCAACCACATAAGATTGTATGAAGCTCATATATCATAATTTGTAAACCAAAGCCCAATTAACAATATCAGTTGTATAAAATCAATTACTTCTTAGTCAAAAACTAGACTTTTACCCGCCCGACCAGACGGATATTAATTTATATTTTAATTTTTCTAATATTAAGTGATGTATTTTTAATATTTCATTACATCACAGTATATCATATAAACAAATCAAACATTTATAACAATTGGATTTATATTATGAAAGCATTGTGTTAATAAATAATAATATATGAATAAATTATTTTCTATTTTATTTATATGTTATATAAATTGACTATGATGTGATATTTTTTATTTTATTATTTATTACTAATAAATATTAAAATATTTAATATGTTAATACAAAATATATTAGGAATTTATTTTGGTTAAGATTTCATTAAAGAAATCTATGATTTAAATTAAGAAAATATATTAAATATTTAACTATTATTTAAATTTAGAAAATATATGCATACTTAAATATAGGTTCAATAAATATCTCAATTGCATTTCAATGTAAATAAGTGGTAAAATTAAAGGGTATTTCTATTTGGTACTTTTCTTTTAATAATATAGATACTTGCACAAATATAACATTATAACAAATCCATATACTTTTATACAAACAAAATATATTTCCTTTAGAGATAAAATGATATAATTTTAACCTTAAAAATTAAATACATAATATATTGAATTCATATGTCTTAGATGATTTTGTTAATATTAAACAACAACACAATTGATTAAATATACATATCATTTTCGCTTACAATTTCAAAAAAAAAAATCAGTTTTACAAAATAAAATATCAACAAACCTATAACAATGAAATCACAATTATATGGTTAAAAAGCCAAATTTCATAATTATTTTTATGAATTTAAGGAAAAATTATAAACAAATCCAAGATTTCAAAGTAAAGATCAAAATCTAGTATTTTTGTAATACGAATCTGATACACCGAAGGCAATGCTCCAAAGATAGAGAGACCAAACCGGATATTTGGAAATATACTTGGTTAAGGAGTAAGAAGAAGTTAATCCACTAGACATATAACCTATTAATTGGGTTGTGTTAGTATTGTGTTGCTTCACCAGTGGAATTTAAATTCACATAATTTATGTTCTGGCCAAATAACTAAAACTTTGAGAAAATGAAATTTCATTAAACATAAAATGCATTACATATCAAAGAAATGAATACATATGTATAAGTGATAACTAAAACACAAATAATGCTTAAATATAATCTTTATTGATAGTTTAACGAAGCAGAAACATGGTCATTGCTCACCACTCTTTCTAATCCAAATCCAAGTCCATAACGGCGTGATTCAGGTTATTTTGCATCTGTTGTTGACGAATCATATCGCAAAATGCGGTTGAAGAAGAACCCATCTCAACTATGGGCATGGCAGCAGATGTTGTAGCAGCAGCATGAGCAGATGAAGAGGACGCTCCATCGTTCTTACTAAGAATCTCCATCCTACGTTTAAGAATCCTTAGGTACTGATCAATGACATTACTACAACCAACAAGGTCATTTCTGTCAATACTGGATGGTGCAATCTTGCCACTAAGACAATCAAACATAATCTCTTTCATCTCCAACTCTTTGTTCTCTTTGTTCTGCTTGTTCAATGCCTCGGTTCCTTTGGTGATCCTCTGTTCAAGATACGTCTTTTGGTTCAACATCTTCTTGGTCCTGTCCATCTCCGGTAACCTCTGCCACTGGGACACAACGTCGTCCATATCAACTCTCGAGGGCCACACCTCCATGCTCGAGTCGTACGGACTGTCGATGATTACACCGACCGGGACCCCACAGAGAGTTGCTAACTCTTTGGCTTTCTTCAAGATACCTCTCTTTCTTTTCTTGTATGTCGATTTTCTTGCAGACTCATTTTCTATGAAAACCATCTTCACCTTTTGTCTTGTCATGATAACGCTTTTTTTTTTGTTTTGTGTTGTCTTTCTTATGTTTTGTATTGTAATCTTAAAGTATGGAGTGTTGTTTATATATAGTGTTTGATTTTGTTTTAAATGGATGTAGATTATCTAAATCTAAACTTATATGTATCTTTTATAAATGTATATCATTCCAGTGTGTGATTTTATTTTAAATGTATGTAGATTATCTAAATCTAAACTTATATGTATCTATATATGTATATCATACCATTTCAGGGGGGAGTAAATTTAGCATTTAGTTATAAATATTTTTTTTATTAAATTAATTTACAGTTTGACATTACTATATTTATATTTCAATAATACCAGTTTTGTTAAAGACATAACATATCCATTTTCTGTAATCTTGTTTTTTTTATTTGGTTTAATTTTCAGTTTGATTTTATTATAATTCCGATAGAACTAAAATTACATTTTATAAAAATAATATTTATATTACATTATATTCATGATTATTTAATTTAAATATGTATGTTATTCCTTATTTTAATATATATATTTTTATGTACATATATAAATTCTAATAAATTTTAGTTTTTGTTACAATAGGTTAAAAAAGTAAGAATAAATATGGGAAGAACCGATAAATTTAAATAAAATTTAACTTTTTAAGTAATAATAAATTTTAATTACTACTATTATAGTTTTGTATTTGTTAATGCACCCTGATAAACTTTGAATTTAAGATAAAAAAAATGATAGATACTTGTAGGCATATACTGATAATTGGGTAAAAAGAAAACCAATTATTAATGAACACTTAAAAAAAATTAACTAATCTTATTATTAGTATTTTTTTTTTGAAACACACTTAACTAATATTAAATTTTTATATTACTTATGTTATATTATATGTACAAATGATGTATATGTTGATAAAATATTATAAACACGTGTTAAAAATAAAAAAAAACTGCAAATTAAACATAAAATATAGAAATAATATCTAATCTGAAATAAAATAGATTTTGTGTATCAATAGGAAACTATCTAATAGTTATAAATATGTATAGTATAGAAATCTAGAAATATATGCTAGATAATCTTGAATGAAAAAAATGAAATAGAAAGAGATTTCATTCCTAATCTAAATAGTTATAATACAGCTTTTCTTATCTAAAAAAGGTATCTAAAATATCAAAATAAAAACAAAATCATTTTGATCAAATCCATGACTTAAATAAGTTTTTTTTTTATATTAAAAAATTGTTGTTGTTGCTGTTGCTAAGAAGAGCCCACATATGGGCCCTGAGCTCAATTTAAATAAAAGCCCATCATACCTTAATTAATTCTCGTCTTCCATTCCCATCTCCCCGTCTTCTTTTTCCTTTGTCGCAGTTCGCTCCGGTGAGTTTTTGAATTTTCTGATTGCTTTATTCCGATCTGTTGATATCATTCTCAGGCTTAGAAATTGATATCTGTTGCATTCTCAAGTATTAAAGCATGTAAACATGATATGATCAAAGCCTTAACAGCTTTGGATTTAGAGTTTTAGTTTTTGTTCTGTAAAAAAAAAGGATTTTGCTTTGTTGGGTTTCTTCTTAATATCTGAAACTATCCAATGAATATGTTTACTGGGTATTCCAGAATATGTTTTTGATAAATTGGTCATGAAAATATCTGAGTGTCTACTAGGTGTTCGATGAAATGCCTGAGAGAAACTAAGCTCATATGATTTTGGGTTAATGCTTTTTTCTTCTGGGCTTGTTGCTACTCTGTTGAAAATATCATTACTCGTTGTGTTTTGTAATCTCTGTGCTAACTGTGGGTTTTAATTTTAAATTAGTGTCTTTAGAGTTAATTGTCTTCAAAGATCTGAGTGTCTACCAGGTGTTCGATCAAATGTCTGAGAGAAATCAATATCAGAGATTTATTTTGTTTCTTCTGGATTTATTGGGGATAGAAAGTGAGATGTACATTCACTCCTTGTGTTTAGTAATCTCTTTGCTAATTGTGAGTTTTAATTTGAAACAAAATTGTTTTTGTTTTGTTTGCTATGATCTTCTAGTTAATCTCTCTGATTTATAACTTGGCTTTGTGTTTTCTCTTTTGGGGTATTTGTAAAACTGATATAAGTTTTTTTTTTTTTTTTGTTTCCTTCAGGAGGAAGACATGAAAGTCAAGATCTTGCGTATCCTTCTACTTTGTCCTTTCTGCATATCATGCATCCAAAAGTTCATGTCAATGATGGTCTTGCAGTACATAGGTTCTTTGATGTATAAAACATGATTTTGTTAATATGCAGCTTAGGTTTATTCATGATATCTTACTTTGTTCTCTTTTCATGAATTTGCATTGTGATTAACTGATGTTGATGAGGATTCTTGTCATCAATTTTCAACTAGTTCATATAGGGTAGGCGAAGATTAGCTTAATGTTTCTTAATTTTGGATTTTGTTTCCAAAAGAACTGTGTTTTTTCCTTTGACTCTCAGTGCTATAATGTCTCCTAACTTCGAAAAACAGAGTAAGTTTCTTTGTCCCATTACTACATGTACATACTTTCTCAATTCCAATACCAGAACTCTTACATTGTTGAAAAACTGTAGGTGGCATGCGGTTGCGTCATGGACATGGGATGCTCAAGATGAGACATGTGGAATATGTCGTATGCCATTTGACGGTTGTTGTCCAGACTGCAAACTCCCTGGAGATGATTGCCCTCTAAGTAAGTTTCTCTCTTTTCATGTCTCCTTACACACTCTGATAGTTTTATATTCTAACGTCTGGATCGTTACGGTTACTGAGCAGTTTGGGGAGCTTGCAACCATTCATTTCATCTCCACTGTATATTGAAATGGGTCAACTCACAGACGAGTCAAGCTCATTGCCCCATGTGCCGTAGAGAATGGCAATTCAAAGAGTAATAAAGGAGTGGAGAGAGAGAGAGAGAGAGAGAGAGAGAGAGAGAGAGAGAGAGAGAGAGAGAGAGAGAGAGAGAGAGAGAGAGAGAGAGAGAGAGAGAGAGAGAGAGAGAGAGAGAGAGAGAGAGACCCTTTGTGTTGTGCCTTGATGCGATATCTAGCATTGTTTCCCTGTTTACAGTTATATTGGATCATTGTTCCAAATTTAGTACGACCCTCTGTAATTGTTAATGAATACAAATATAGATAAGTAACTAACTAACCACAAAAAATGCAGCAATGAGTTTTGTCAATGGCAACCTTGGACATATGAATCAAGTGAGAGAAGAGGTAAATTTTGTCTGAATTAAGTTCCACAAACATAAAGTTAAATAGAAAACTAAATACTAAGAAAAAAGAATTTTTAATAATGATAAAATATAATAATTCTACCTCATTAAAAATATATAGCGTTATGATATTTAAAAATATTTTTTAATTATTTGATCAGAGTATTGCTTATTGTAAAAACTATTTTAGTTGCCTTTTTAATATTTGATTTTTTTCTGTAATTGTAAGATATTTATAGTAAACAAAAGATTATGAAAAAATAAATAAAAACTTTTGATAATACTAATTACAAAACTATTTTTAGTCAATTAAACAAACAGCTAATGTTACTTAATTACTTTATTTAATCATCTAAGAAAATAGATAGATGTATAAATAAAATATTTCTATTACTTAAAAAGAATATATATATATATAGTATTTTATACTGTTTAAAATTATATTTTAAGGGAAATAATATTTCCTTTTTAATAAAGATTATCTTTGTGACCTTTTTTATGTAATAACATTATATACATATATATATATTTCTTTTCATCTCAGAAAAAGATAGATATACATAAATTATTTTTATCACTTTGAAAGTATATTTAATGTTGTTCAAAAAACTATTCTGAAGGGGATAATTTTTTTTGTGAACTGTGTTTCATAAAATCATATTATAGATACACATATTATCGTTTTTAAATTTTATAAATATTTCCTATTTTATTATATATTGTTATCTAGAAAAGTTAAAAATTAAACTAAATTAAACATCTAATTAACAGATGGTACTAAACAAAAAGTTAATAATTTTACTTAAATGTATTACTTTTATCTCATTGGCTGTATTTATGTAACTAACCCTGTAAGAATTAACGTGATCGCGACACGGAAACTTACTTTTCAAATAAAATTATAGAGATATTTTTAATTCATTAAAAGTTTCAGTGTTATTAATTATCATACGAATTAATGTGTAAGAAACTGAATTCACAAATAATATTATAAAGATGTTAAAAATAAATTTTTACTATATAAAGTTGAATTTACCAAACTAATTATTGAATTTAGGTTTAATCGGTTCGTTATATTTTAATTACACTGAACTAGTTTGCGGTTTTGATTTTTTATTTATTTTGCATGTGTATTTGAGTGTTTTCTGCTTAGATTATGTTATTTTCTTCTATCCCATCCTCTGGACTTGTCATAATGCAATAATTAATGTAGTTGTCAATAATACTTTTTATTCATTATAACTGATCATCTTTTTTATTGAGGGTTTTTATTTAGTACATCGTAGGTAGAAGAAGCTCCTTATCTATGAAGCAACTAGGAAGTGTGAGATACATAGAGATGATCTTGAAGGGGGAAAAGTGTTTCATGCATCAGCAAGCCCTCTTCCTCTGACTCTGAGAGGAGAGGCTTGAGCGGAGGAAATCTTGTTTTGCAGGGTTCGTGGCAGTCCCATTAATGAATCTTTGGTACCATTTGCCAGATTCCTTGAGGTTTCTGTCGTCGAGATCATCCCAATTAACATAACTGAGTCCAAATCTGACGGTAAATCCTTTACAGAATTCATAATTATCTCCAAGAGCCCATGCGAAGTATCCTCTTACATTGACACCCTTCTCACTAAAAACGATAACAATCATCTATATGTAATTATTACTTAAAAAGAAGATAAATATTGGAAGAAAACCATGTATAGGAGCATCCACTTACTTGATGACCTTACGGAGAAAACATAGATGACTGCAGAGAT